TCCTGTTTGTATACTAGTTTACTCGGCTGCCCGCACAGAGCCGCTCTTGCATTCTCTGTCAAGGCGGCTGCATTGCATGGTAGCGTGGTGTTCATACTCCACTCGTGTCAATGGCTGAAGACAGGTTTAGTTGACCCCCTGCTGGGCAGTAAAAGAACTCCTAATAGAACTCTTGCACGGGAACCTTTAGTTTCCCACAGGGGGTCGTAAACCCTGGCTGAAGGAAGATAGAGTATGATTAAGCCGCTGCATTCAGGCGATAGGCTACATCTACACGTTGTCCTACGAGTTTTTGGTCGGGCACTCAGCGGGCGAGACTATTGCACTTCAGAACCATGCAGGTATTTTTGCTGGTGCTCTGTAGGGAATGTGGGGAATGAACTCAGGGTGCCCCTGTGAAGGATTGTTTATAGGGGTCATTTCCCTCGTTCCCTGCGAGCACCATCAAGTATATGGGTGAACATTTCGAGTCTAGGGTTCTAAATGGTCCATTAAAGAAAGCAACTAGAGGGCGAGCCCTACATTTGCTGCTCTTGAAAGCACAAGTAATGTTGACCGTATAGGACGCACCTGTCTGGACCTGTCTGGATGGTTGCAAAGGAAAGCCTAAATGACGCCAAGTAGCCATGGCTCCAAATGAAGTCTTGAGAAACACCCGACGAGCAACTGTGAGGATTATTGTGTCGAAAGGCGGAACGGGTACCCTCACTCCTACTAGTACGGCACCTGACAGGGGGTCCCTACAAGAGGAACATGACATTCCAGGTACCCTCCCACAGGTGCCATGTGAGTGGAAGGGAGGGTACCCCTAAAAAACAGAAGCACACACACATAGGCAGGGTGGGGGCGGGTATTTGGGGGCCAGTGGGCAGCGCTGAGGTGCTGAACCTTCTGCTGGGCATCCTCTTTGGGCTGATCTTCGCGCCTCGGTAGAAAGACGAGCGACCTTTTCTTTTTCGACCCAGAAAATGGTTGGCATGCTGAAAGGTCTGCAACAAAAAGGTGTCCGAAGGGATTTCCCGAACAGAGACCGACAACGTGCAACCACGCTGAAGTCCGTGTGTTGTTTGCTTTGGGGTAGTCAAGCAATGGACCGCTTGACAGGATCATATAAGATGCTGTAACACAAGCTCATAGCATATGACATTTTTCATGGGGTGATGTTTCAAGCTGCATAAAAATATGGGAAATGATTATGTGAGATCTCCCTTGGATACCTTGGTTGGCAGCATCCCCCACGCCCAAATAGAGCACAAGGATGTTTACAGGGGACGGAATACTGGGTTCATCAAAGTGAACATATTGAGGGCTTCGCGAAAACTGACCTTTTGAGCCGTGGCCTAAGCCTGCTCTTGCGGGGCAGTTTGGGCCGATAGAAATGGACCTCGCAGGAGGCCTACGGCCGTACCAAGCAGAAGGCCGGGAATGCGGAGTCCTTGATCATGCAGGTCCGGAAGTCGGTGGCCGAAACGCGGCTCGGAAGAAGATGCATGCTTGTCAATGTGGGGGGCTGGGGGGGCTGGGGGGGCTGGGGGGGCTGGGGGGGCTGGGGGGGCTGGGGGGGCTGGGGGGGCTGGGGGGGCTGGGGGGGCTGGGGGGCTGGGGGGTGGGGGGGGGGGTGGGGGGGCATTTCTCACTCAACGGGTGTCCAGCTTTTGAGTAATTATACTCAACCGGATTTGTTTGGGTGAGTATGCTAGGCCCGGAGGGAGTAAACTCACTTTCGGAAAAGAAGAGGGTCGTTTTTTGTTTTGCAATTTGGGCTAAGTTGTGTTTTGCTGTACAATCTCTTTACTGGCTATGACGTCCCATAGGTACTGATGGATTGGTTCAAAGAGTTCAGCGGCTTGAACAAAGGCTTGCAGGAAGGCCTTTCGATGCTTCAACCACTTTTGTACTAATAATTTCCTCCCTCAAGCACAGGAACCCCTTCCAGTATGCGTTGCGCTGATGTAGCAATCACCCCCTGGCCTAAGGCGCAAGCCACCATGTACAACCCAGGCCCAACCCTGCGCTCATTCGCCACACCATTTGTCAGGCTGGCGCTGGCACCGAGCCTTTGTAATCAGATTCACAGATTGAACTCCAGAAACTATCTTAGAGGAATCTGCTCGCTTTTGGGAGCTTTTCCCGGTTGCCAAAAAAGGAACGGGAGTCCAGACGTGGCATATTTCCTGCAACTGCCCTTCTCGCTTGTGTGTGGGTTTCTCCTGAGCCCTTGTTTCTCGACAAACCAATGATATTGTTGGGTCGGCCTTTCGTTTTGGGAACGAAGCCACATTCCTCATGCCGGCTTCTTTGATGCCATCCTCTCAGGCGCAAGAAGAAAGATTTCCTGGATGAGTACTACATGATCTGCGAGTTGGAAGATGCGACCCGCTTGCAAAGCGCAGGATTGGGTTGTTTACCAGCTGCTATGGATATAAATCTTTAGTGGAGAGAATCCCCGGGATGTCAAACGTAGCGCCCCTTGAGACCCTGGTCAAGACCAGGCTGCCGTCATGGTACCCATGAGCCTTCACCGGATATCGGTGGCTCATGTGCCTCATGCTTCTGGCTCTTTAAACCGGCCCGTCGGCAATCAAAGCAGAACTCTCTTGGGATTCCGGGCACTGCACCGTCAAGAAAGGCTGTCCCAAAAATCAGGGGGCATTGGTGTACATGATCAGCCTTTGTTGGTAACACGTGATTCAAACTCACAACCTCATAGTGATAAGTGTTGATTGATCATCATCGTCGTCATCATCATCGTTTTGTTCTTCCAGATCTGGCGATGTGTCAAAGCCAAGGATTCTTTTTGGGACGGTTCTGCAAGAAGGAACGGAAGGAGCCAATTATTTGGGAGGTTCCAACTGACACACTTGCATGATTGATATGAGGTTAGTTCTTACACAAGGAAGGATTAGCAGATGTCTGGTCGTAGAGTGCGCATCTGGCATTTGCTTGACACTGTACCTGGAACAAACGTCTTTGTATTTGCTCCACGGTGGCCTAGCCATATATATATATATACATATGCATGTATGTGAATATGTATATATATATATACAATACGCATAGCTTTTATGCTGATATTGAGCTTTCTGGACATGCCCCATGTTCGCGCTTGTGTTCGGTCGGATTTTTTGGGCTTGTCCGCATTTCCCACATTGAGCATTTCCAAGCCGCTTGGACTCTGACGGGAGCCTTTCCATGGGCCTCAGTTTCCTTCCGGCACTGTGGGACGAAATCCTCGGTGCGGCACTTGGAAGGCATGGGCGTCATCATTTTTGGTATTTACAGGGGAGTCATCATTACAGAGTTTGTTAATCCTGCTGTGCAGGATTTCGTTCATCTACAGTTGACTTCAAGGCAAATTCGATTCACGACGTGTGAGGTTAGAGAGTTACCAGTCAGCTTGGTTTCCTGCGAGTTGGTGTTTTTTGTTGGTTGATTTGGTTGAAAAAATAGATCGGGCGCTTCCTGGTTTACCTGGTGGCTTTTAGTCAACTCCCAAAGTCCACCGATTTTTCCCCCAACAAGGGACCCCCAGAGCGCGCCCAGAGCGCTTTCCGAAATTTCTCGGGATCCCAGGATCAGCCGGCCCACCCCGGGGAGATCGTGACGGTGAGGACCTTGTGCGAGGCCTTTCGCAAAGACGGCTTCACCAAGGCCTGGGTTTCTTTTTTTTTTTTCCGGAGGAAGTCATTCTTTTTGTTGGTCTGAAAAAGGGTGGGAACAACAAGTTTTGTTTTTTTCAGTGATACCATTGGGGGAAGTCCTTTTCATCAACTGGCGGGGTAGGGGTTCCCACGCGTTTTTTTTCCTCTTCTTTCTTTATCCACAGACCAGGAAACCGGTCCTGGCAGGGTGGGAACATTTTTTCTTCCAGTGATACCAGGAAACCGGTCGTTCAGCTAGGTGCCAACTTTCTCACCCAACTTTTTCACCCAACTTTTTTGGGTTGGGAGGGTTCCCCTACTAAAATCGACTACCGAGAAAAATCGGGTACCAACTTATTCTAACCTCTCTGGAGGACCAGGCGCCAGGAAACCTCCCCATTTCTTAACGGAGAATTCTCGTTTGGAAGGCCTCTTAGTATCACAGGAGATCTTCTCACAAGCCGGAGCTCCGAGAAAAGTGACTTCCAACTTCCACGCTGCAAATGGGCGCTTAGCTCCGAAATGACCCCCTTGAGGGGGGAAAGCCGCCGAGCGGCGCCCGCGCCCTTTTTTTTTGGGGGGGGGGGACTTCTTTTGGGCAGTTCCACAGTGGCAGAGAGGGTCCCACGTCGCTTCACTCGCCCTCGGAGCTTGGATCTTAAGCCCGGATGCAAAGCTCGTGAGCGGTGCCTACCTAGCGCTGGACACAAGTGTTGTTCTCGCGCCGGGCCCTGGGTGCTGAAAAATGCAATGCAACTCTCTTTTGTTCTAAGGAAACAGCAAGCGGACCTTCGATCGAACAAACCCCCTGCTTCTCGAAGTGGTCTCCAACTCGTGCAATCTCTGAGTATCGTCTCAACCAGGCGATGTTACCGGAAGAACCCTATTCATTTTTTTCGAGAAAACCGGCACCTTCTTTTTTGGACAGCCCACGTTGCCCCCAAGCAGCTTCCCACTCCTCTCTACGCACAGGAGAATGCTGCCGCTTGGACAAATCAGAATGCTGCCGCATGCCTGAAGTAGCCAAGGAAACCTTCAAGGGCCTAAATCACTCGACCTGTTTTTTTCGGGCACTTTGACACCGGATCTGTCGTCATGTTTGAGGCAACGCTCAGGTTGGTGGTTTGGATTGGTCGTTTGGGATTTGAACCCCGCTTCCCCTCTTTAGCCACCAAACCACCTTTTGCTCCAAGCAACCAATTGGAAGGAAGCCCTCCTTAACCACCAAACCAAGGGAAGTAGGATAGTAAACTGTGCAATTTGATGTTTTTTGGGGCCATGGCTGGTGTTGGCGCCGGAGTTTGGCCCTGACCTTTTGGACATCGGGTTTGCCATTTGCTGGAGGGGATATACGGGTGCGGTGTGGCTCAAAATTACCGACCTAGGGTTTTCGCAAGTTTTAGTGTGTTTCCATTTCGAAAGGTGCCATTTTGGTACACCCAGCCCACAATGGATGGATATGTTGGCGCGCGTAAGTTTGCTTGACTAGCGGATGGCTGACTTTGCAGCCAGTATTGCGTTTTGTTCTGATGTGGAAACTGGCAACACTGACCTTGAATGATCTGTCTTGCGCATGTCTTTGTTCAGCTAGCATCAGGCCTCTAGTGCTCAAGTTGAATGCTGGTGTGTCTCTTTTTTATAACCTCTTTTTTGCTGAACAATTACAAAAACAGGACACCAGCCACCCATTCTTTTCCTTCTGACAAAGCCGCCTCGGCGGCCTGAGGAGTACATCATCACCCAAGTGCGCGCCCGGGAGTTTTCCAAAGTCTCGGAGGCTCGAAAACGTCTCAGCTGAACCGCCGACTTGTTTTTTCGGCTCCGCGACACATGGCTTCCTCATTTTTTTGGGTTCCGGGCTGGGACCGAATTTCCTCTCTTTTTTGTTCTTGCGGGGGCCCCCGACGGCGCCCGGCGGGCGTGCAAGGCGCCTTCGGAGAAGGCCGCGACAGAGGGTGTTTGTGTGTTTTTTTGGGCGGGGTGAACAAATATGGCGGTGGTTGTCCAAACCGTTTTGGGATCCCATTTCGGGGTAGGTGAATTCACCACCCATGTTAGAACCTATTTTAGTGGGGGTTGGGATGTTCACTGGGGGTACGGGGTTTTGACCCATGGCCATACAAAGGGTGAAGGCGCTTAAGTACAGAATCTGGATAGCGCACGAGAGCGAGAATCTATTTCGCTGGGGGATGTGTGATTGTTACGGGCTTGCCTTGAACCTGGGCACCGAGTCTCGAGCCCTTCAAGTTTATTTCCGAGTGTGTCTTTTTTTTCAGCGGACCCCGCCGCAAAGAAAAAACGACAAGAAGAAGGCAGTTGTCCTTTTGAATTCCCTTTTTGGCCCACCAAAACAGGGCCTCAAGAAAAGAAACACCCTATAGGTTGAGCCAACGGCAAGCCTCGAGAAGGCAGGGGGTGGTCTCTGTTTCCCCTGAAACCCTCCGACACTTAGCACCTGGGTGCTGAGGCTGGACTTTTCTGTTTCCATGGCAGTTTCCATGGCAGCTCCCGGCCCTTTTCCGGCGGCAAAAAAAACCGGCTGGAGCTCTTCCATCTTCAAGTTCACCTGGATCCCGCAAAACACATGTCTAGAGGAACCTCCTTTTCCCCCCCGTTTGCTGGATGTCCAACCACCAGCTCGGGGGGGATGAAAAGCTGGCGTTTGCCACGGGGTCCAAGGTCATCTTCAGGTGAGCCATAATCAAAACCCGGGTGGGCTATAAATGGGTGCGGATATCCTTTAGTATACAATTCATTTTAAGACTCAGGGTTGTGGTTGATCACTCGGGGATTGGTCATTTTTGGTTGGTCTTCTCGAAAGGGGATTCTGTTTTGATTAAGCATGAGTTGCCATCAATCCTGGCCAGCATTCTTTCCAGTCTTCTTAGCCACCTGGATCAACTGCCCCATGTTCAAGTCTTCCCCCTTCGAAACCTCACGTTTTTTCTTTTCAATTTGAAGTGAGAGTGAGCTCTATAACTGGTAGTTTGGACTGGTGGTTTGGTGGTTTGGGGGAGGCTTCCCAATACAAGAACCAGGGGTTCAAACCAATCCAAGCCACCAATTGGAGGGAAGCTGACTGCTGCGATGTGTGCAGGGAAAACAACTCGAGAGACCCCCCACCCCACACCCCACACCCCACCCCCCACCACCACCCCCACCCCCACCCCAACCCCCCCCACCCCACCCCAACCCCACCCCCCGTGGCAGGGAAGATTACGTACAATGTGCCGCCGCGCGCCTTCAAGAGCACAACGGTTCATCGTTGCACATGGACTCTTTTGGTGCAATCCCAAGAGTAGAAAGGAATGTCTTGGCACGCCTCACCCTGAATCAGAACCAGCTAGTTTGTAGTAATAGAAAAAAGGGTGAGGGGTGATGAAGACCAGATGAACATCCTCTCTTTGGTTGTGAGAGAGTGTGATAAAAGCACACGGTATACCTTCGTGAAGTAGTATTAATGGAAACAAATAATGGTGTCCTCCTATCTATCACTTCCATATCTTTTCTAAATTAAACGTTTGCTAGCTCACAAAGATAGAGCATGGAAATTGAAAGAGGAAAATGCTAATCAAATGATTAAAGCCACAGTAACAGATAACAGAGTTAGAGAAGATCGAATGTCAGTGAGGAAGAAGTAAATAGTAAACAAATGCTGGTCAAATAAACATAAAAGGAAAGAACAATCAGAGAGATATAAAAAAGGGTCTGGATACGTAGCCTGTCCGTGAGACGTCGCTTAAGCACTAATAACAGTTAAGCGTCTCTTGATTCATCACTCTATCTGGACAGGCAATATTCTGCTGAGAAAACTATTAACTTCATTCGGTCACTTCTAGCGACGAACATAGTATTAGTGAAGATTCAGTAGGATTTGACAACTATTACGAGCACTGTAGCTTGGGAGGCAAAAGGAAACCCATTAAAAAGAGAAGGTGAGAAATGAACCCCAACCGATACAAATTAGTTAACATTACTCATGAGATTCTAGTAAATAGATAGCCTTTCGTAAATAGTGTTCCGTCCTTCTCCAGCAACTTTTACTATTAATATCCTTTTCATTCTCACCTAAAACTCAAGAATATTGCACATATCTAAGGGTAAGATAGGAAGTGAGTGAGAGATTTTGCAAGGAAATTCGAATAGAACAGAAGCAGAAAGAAGATACAAAGAAATAAACTCCATGAGTAAAGACCAACAGCCTCTTCAGAGTCAAGCAAACTATCTATGGTTATAATTTGCGTTTATTCTGTATATTTGTGCAGACTGGATGAAGTGGTCACGGGGTGAATTTAAGGGCAATAATTACAGAATCTTTGTAATCCCATAGCTTACTTCGTTTTACTATCTTATTGCGTTTTCTATCATATCCATCATTGTCCACTCTAGGTTTTTCACTGTGTTGGAGAGGGTTCTTGATGGACACGCATAATTTGCCTCCAAATAAACCGTTTCATTCAGTAACAGTATTTATTACTTTCATGTTCTTGGTTCTGTCATTTGTCTATTTATTTAGTTATTTATTTATTTTTATTTATGTATTTTTATTTATTTATTTTTATTTATTTATTTACGTATCTATTATGTTTCTTCATAGGCCTTTTTCGTAATTCTTACGACTCCTGATAGCCGCGAGAGACGGGAGAGCAGAAGGAGTGTTAGCCAGTTCCTCTTCTTCATATTTGTTGTTACCCCCCCGGGTTTTTCTCCCCCATCCAGATGCTTCTAACGTTTAATGCGAGAGAGAGAAAGAGAGATTGGGAAGATACATAAACAAGTAGAAAGGTTGCAAAGTGAACAAGTACATGAGAATGCAACCAGCAGAGGAGAGACTATGAACCTATTCTTGGTAATGATTTACTTTCTGTTCCAACCATCGTGATTTTCTTTGCGTTGCAAATTTATTCAACCTCACACCCAGAAGCATTTCTATACTTCTCAGATAGTATTGTAAATAGAAGACAACGAAGATAGACATTCAATCAATAAATGGGATGGTAAACCGAAAGGCAACGATCTTAGTAACGACATGTCCATCCACAAATGTTTCCTGGATGAAGTGGAAGAGATAGAAAGGGAAGGATAAGCTCTTTGGGACCACAAACCAACCTCTCTTCCTCCATGACTTGGACAAGGAAAGGACGCCAGCGATGAGAAGAACTCCTTACACCATCCTATGATCTAAAACTCTATTATTGTCCTTTCATTTCCAGAAGATTATTAGCAAAAGAGAGAGACCGCTAGCATTTGCTATTAAAAGGTTTTAAGGATTTTGTAGTCAAATCTTTATGGGTTGAAGATGTTGGTGGGTGACAGCGGGAACGGGAAAGGGGCAGACCATTTGCTCTGAGCTTTGTTGTTGAGCATGTCCTTGTGAATGAAGGGGACGCCCAAGAGCGTGGCCAAATAAAGGATGAAGAGATGGCATGTAAAACCAAGACAGAAGGAAGCGACGAAGCTATGTACGTACATCTTTCCACAACCTCCGCTTCCTTCTCTCGCTTGCGCCAGCTGTTGGCGGGAGGTTACATGGGAAAACCAGGATGCGATCGGAGGAAAAGAAAGAATCACGTTACTTCTGTTCACCCTCTCCTATCTTCTCTTCTTCTTCGTCCCAAGCATCACACGGCATAGGATTAACAGCAGCCTATGCTTGAGGAAGAAGTCAAGAGAGGCTTCTCACTTCCCATTTTCAATCTTCAATTTCATCAAAAGGAAAGAAAGAAGTGATAGAAAGACATGGTAAGTGCCCATCCAATTCTTTATCTGCAATTAGTATTGATGGGCGCTTACCTCCTTGCCAGACGCTTTACTTCTTCATTTCCAACACATGGCAATGTAAAAGACAAGGCAAGGAAAATGACAAGCGTTGGCTGGGCCGGGAAAGGAAAGGTCATCTTCTTCCATCTGTGTTTTACAGAAAGAAGCGGGGTGTGGAAAAGTGGCTTTCTTTTTCTACAAGTAAACCAAAAATAAAGCCAATATCCCCTTCCTTCGTCCCACTTTTAGACTGTTCCATCGTGAGTCTTTCGTAGTGACAGAACTCCAGAACGTATGCATGGAGTGGGGAAGGGAAAGGTAAAGATGGAACGGTTCATCTCCTTCCTATCTTCTCCCCACTAGCGATACAGTTGGAGAAGAAGAAACGGGGGCTAGCTTCTCCCTCCCTCCTTCACCCCTCGATTTCTGGCATTCTTCAACAGTTGAAAGGGGAAACAGAAGAAGGTGAAGGATGAAAAGTCCAAAAGATAGTAAAACACAAGCAAAATAATATGAGTAAGACCTACTCATAATCCTTTTTCCTTTCGGTGAGCCCCAGAGACGACCGGACAGCCAAAAGCATTCACAAAGAAAGATAGCGTAATGAATCTCAACAAGAGAAGAATATAATAGTTAAAAAAAACGAGGAATGTAAGTATGGTGTTAAGATTAGAAGCATATATTAGCACGTAATAAATTAGATAGCTTCTGTAAGCACCACCCATAATTATCTTTAGCTTTGTCATAACTGTCTCGCGCCCTTTTTATGTTTTTGAGTTACGCTAGCTTGTGTAAAACAGGATTTTGAAAAGAAAGGGAGGATATTACGTTTTCTACCGTAATTATACTGCCTGCAAATGCTTTCGTCACTTCTTACCCATCCAAAAATGCAAATGGGGGATGAGGATGGATGGACAAGAGGAAACAGGCAATGATTTGGAATATGCCCCAAAGACAGGCTGGAAAGGGATATATTTACAAAGGAATCTTCAATCATCATATCCTCCAAGTCTCACGGACAGGCTATCTGGTTTATTCTGCGTGATGTCTGGGCGGAAGATTTTCTTAATCATTCTTTGTTCTGTCACACCTTTCCCTTTCCCTTACCTTCATCGCTTGGTCTAGCCTGGTATGCGATAAAATCTCTGAGATACAAATGAAGCTTGACGGAAAGGACGTATCACTCCATCCCAACAATCCCAGCAGCCTTTCCATGTCTTTCTATTTGTACGGTTTTCTCCATCTCTTTCTCCATCAGGTATGTGTGGTATGAAAGATATCCAAAAGAAGCGTGTTACAGAAGATGTCCTCTCTCCTTTACCTATCTTATGTTTATTTCTTTATCCCTGTCATTTCCATCCTAGTTTATTGAGTTGATTGTAGGAAGAAGTGGTCAGGGGAGAGAGTGAAAGATAAAGAAAGGAGTATGAATTTGAGATCCTAAAGAAAAACAAATACATGGAAATAACAGAAAAGAGAGATTCCAAATGAAAAGATAGTATGCTTTCCTCCCCCTTTCCTTACCAAACTTCAACCGATTCAAAGTGAAAACAAACTTGACCCAAAAAAAGCCGTTAAGGGAAGGACGGTGATCAAGTTTTATCAAGTTTACAATGTTTACACCTTTACTTGTAATTTCTGAAATTCTGGACCGACTTTTTACAAACTAGCTTGCGCAATTTGCAACCCTCGAGCAATGCTTGTTCAAATCCAGCTTGTAATTCTAGATCGGATGTTTTCTGACATTGAAACGTACTCTGGGGTTCCGGGGAGATTTGGCTGGAGTTACATTACAAGTTATACACATTTTGCAGATTAGTTTCTGAACTATGCCAAATTCCAACAAATATGGTTGAAAATTAAGCATTTCACAAATTTCGCAAGTACATGTGTAAAAAGAAATTACTTTGTAAAATTTGTAAAATATCAAACAAATCTGGTCCAAAATTACAAGTTGTACAAATTGTACAAATTCGAGTCTGAGAAATTAGCTTCCAGGGGAATTTGGTAGGAATTAAATTACAAATTTTACAAATTTTACAAATGAATTTGTAAAAATTGTAAAATATCAAAAAATCCGGCCCAAAATTGCAATTTTTTCAATTTTTGCAAATTCGAGTATGAGAAATTGGCGTCCAGGGGAATTTGGTAGGAATTAAATTCCAAATTTTACAAATTTTACGAATTTTACAAATTAATTTGTAAAATTTGTAAAATATAAAAACATATGGCCCAAATTTCAATTTTTACAAATTAATTTGTAAAGTTTGTAAAATATCAAAAAATCTGGCCCGAAATTACAAATTTTACAAATTTTACAAATTAATTTGTAAAATTTGTATCATATCAAAAAATCTGGCCCGAAATTACAAATTTTACAAATTTTACAAATTCGAGTCTGAGAAATTAGCTTCCAGGGGAATTTGGTAGGAATTAAATTACAAATTTTACAAATTTTACAAATTAATTTGTAAAATTTGTAAAATATCAAAAAAATCCGGCCCAAAATTACAAATTTTGCAAATTTTACGAATTTTACAAATTAATTTATAAAATTCGCAAAATATCAAAAAAATCCGGCCCAACATTACAAATTTTACAAGTTTTACTAATTAATTTGTACAATTTGTCAAATATCAAAAAAATCTGGCCCGAAATTACAAATTTTACAAATTTTACAAATTCGAGTCTGAGAAATTAGCTTCCAGGGAAATTTGGTAGGAATTAAATTACAAATGAATTTTACAAATTAATTTATAAAATTCGCAAAATATCAAAAAAATCCGGCCCAAAATTACAAATTTTACAAGTTTTACTAATTAATTTGTACAATTTGTCAAATATCAAAAAAATCTGGCCCGAAATTACAAATTTTACAAATTCGAGTCTAAGAAATTAGCTTCCAGGGGAATTTGGTAGGAATTAAATTGCAAATTTTACAAATTTTACAAATTAATTTGTAAAATTTGTAAAATATAAAAACATATGGCCCAAAATTTCAATTTTTACAAATTAATTTGCAAAATTTGTAAAATATCAAAAAAATCCGGCCCAAAATTACAAATTTTACAAATTTTACAAATTAATTTGTAAAATTTGTAAAATATCAAAAAATCTGGCCCGAAATTACAAATTTTACAAATTTTACAAATTCGAGTCTGAGAAAGTAGCTTCCAGGGGAATTTGGTAGGAATTAAATTACAAATTTTACAAACTTTACAAATTTTACAAATGAATTTGTAGAATTTGTAAAATATTAAAAAAATCCGGCGCAAAATTACAAATTTTACAAATTGTACAAATTAATTTGTAAAATTTGTAAAATATCAAAAAAATCTGGCCCGAAATTACAAATTTTACAAATTTTACAAATTCGAGTCTGAGAAATTAGCTTCCAGGGGAATTTGGTAGGAATCAAATATTACAAATTTTACAAAATAATTTGTAAAATTTGAATTTTGGGCCGGATTTTTTTGATATTTTACAAATTTTACAAATCAATTTGTATTCATTTGTAAAATTTGTAGTTTTGGGCTGGATTTTTTTTAATATTTTACAAATCTTACAAATTAATTTGTAAAATTTGTAAAATTTGTAATTTAATTCCTACCAAATTCCCCTGGAAGCTACTTTCTCAGACTCGAATTTGTAAAATTTGCAAAATTTGTAATTTCGGGCCAGATTTTTTTTGATATTTTACAAATTTTAACAAATTAATTTGTAAAATTTGTAAAATTTGTAATTTTGGGCCGGATTTGTTTTTAATATTTTAATTTGTAAAATTTGTAGAATTTGTAATTTAATTCCTACCAAATTCCACTGGAAGCTAATTTCTCAGATTCGAATCTGTAAAATTTGTAAACTTTGTAATTTCGGGCCAGATTTTTTTGATATTTTTCAAATTTTACAAAGTAATTTGTAAATTTGTAAAATTTGTAATTTTGGGCCGGTTTTTTTGATATTTTACAAATTTTACAAATTAATTTGTAAAATTTGTAAAATTTGCAATTCAATTCCTACCAAATTCCCCTGGAAGCTAATTTCTCAGACTCGAATTTGTAAAATTTGTAAACTTTGTAATTTCGGGCCAGATTTTTTTGATATTTTTCAATTTTTACAAAGCAATTTGTAAATTTGTAAAATTTGTAAAATTTGTAATCTAATTCCTACCAAATTCCCCTGGAAGCTAATTTCTCAGACTCGAATTTGTAAAATTTGTAAAATTTGTAATTTTGGGCCAGATTTTTTTGATATTTTACAAATTTTACAAATTAATTTGTAAAATTTGTAAAATTTGTAATTTTGGGCCGGATTTTTTTGATATTTTACAAATTTTACAAATTAATTTGTAAAATTTGTAAAATTTGTAATTTAATTCCTACCCAATTCCCCTGGAAGCTAATTTCTCAGACTCGAATTTGTACAATTTGTAATTTTGGGCCGGATTTTTTTAATATTTTGCAAATTTTACAAGTTAATTTGTAAAATTTGTAAAATTTTGTAATTTAATTCCTACCAAATTCCCCTGGAAGCTAATTTCTCAGACTCGAATTTGTAAAATTTGTAAAATTTGTATTTTCGGGCCAGATTTTTTGAATTTTTACAAATTTTACAAATTAATTTGTAAAATTTGTAACATTTGTAATTTTGGGCCTGATTTTTTGATATTTTTCAAATTTTACAAATTAATTTGTAAAACTTGTAAAATTTGTAAAATTTGTAATTTAATTCCTACCAAATTCCCCTGGAAGCTAATTTCTCAGACTTGAATTTGTAAAATTTGTATTTTTGGAAAATATGTTCTTTACTTAACAAATTTTATAAATTAATTTGTAACATTCGCAATTTCATTCCTACCAAATTCCACTGGAAGCCAATTTCTCAGACTAAGGTTTGCAATTGTTATGAAATCAATTCCTACAAGATCTGCCTGAAAGCCAGCCCTCAGTGTGATGTTGATGCCCAGACCTCTCCCCGGCACATTATACATACTCTTCCCTCTTACCCCCACCCCCCCACCCCACCACCACCCCCACCCCACCCCACCCCAACCCCACCCCCCCACCCCACCCCAACCCCACCCCCCTACCCCACCCCACCCCAACCCCCACCACCACCCCCCCCTTGCACCTCCCTGCTTTCAGGTGGAGGTGCGCCTGGTGGACGCGCTGAAGCTGGTGGCGCTGATGCGCACCGCTTCCCTGCGGGCCATCCTGCGCACGGAGGCCATCTTGAACCAGCCCCCCGCCGCGGGGAGGTGGCCAGAGTTCCACTCTTTGAGTACCCCAGTGACTTAAACCCAGGGGTCATGTACCCAAAAAAGGGAACCCCTGGGTTTAAGTCTATTTGCAGTTAGTCAAAAAAGTAGAACCCTGGAGGTGGCTGTGGTTGTCAAAACCGATGGGATCCCATTTCGCAAAAACAATTGGCAAAAGCGGGAGGCCTTACCCTTCAAGAATCCGGGTTAAGACCTTAACCCTGGTGTCATGTTTCTTGACAGCTTCTGGTTGTGTCCCTTTAACCCACCTAGGGGGTGACTTTGATTGTGGTAAAAGAAGGAGGCCTAGTAACCTCCAAGGATCATGGAAGTGAAAAGGAA